ATGAGCTGACAAATTAACAAGTATCATTATATTTAATGATTAATAACAATTACACTTAAACGGATAAATTACCTTCATATGCGGGATAACACGTGCAATATTGGGGACAATTGGGCAGATCTAAGGGTATATCTGACGAAAAACATGACATAAGATAAACGCACGTAAATGTTGTTAAATTCATTTCATGTAATATTTATTTAAATATTAATTTTATTAATAAAACTCTATTATTATCACATGTTTGACACAAAATCAATATAATTATACAATATATTGCTGTATTAAATGTGATGTTGAATCGGCTTTTCAAACAAAGCCAATGGTTTATCAATAGATTTGTTTTTAATGATATATTAATATTGTATATTATTTGAAAAGTTTTTATGAAGATAATTTATCCGTTTAAGTGTAATTGTTATTAATCATTAAATATAATGATACTTGTTAATTTGTCAGCTCATGTGACAATTAGTGTAACATGATTTTAATTAGCATTATAGCTGTGTTATTGTGTTTATTATTTTTTGGTTTATTAATATGTTATGTAATAACTAAAAGCAAATATTCATATTTATTTGTAATTATTATAATTAATAAACATACTTTTAAACATATTTTGTTTGTTTGGAGTAAACTTGTTTAAATAATTTAAATAATTTAATTATTATAATGAAATATATTTAAATTAAATTTGTCTAACAAACTGTATTTTAAGCAAAAATTATTTACAAACATATTTTAATTTATAAATAGTTTATCTTTTTGGGTTTGAATGTAATGAATGTAATTAATGTTACATTAATAATGTAATATCTATATAATGTACATGTATACATATTATGCTGCATAATTTATGCATTAAATTATTTTAATCAATATTTATTTGTTAATATATTAATTAATATATTTTCATTATTTATTTTTGGTAAATTTTATTAGTTATATGGTTGATTAATTTGTCTTTCAGATTTATTTCTCTTTAAAACCTTATTAAATATAATTTAATTTTGATTTGTTTAAACTCAATAATTACTTATTTTATTTTATTGAATTATTTTATTGAATAAATATAAAATAATGTTTATAATTTAAATTATATTTATGATTCATAGTATACTATTCTAATACACCTGTTGGCATTGATAAATTTTATTAATATCGAGGTTTAATCTAAAATAACTAATTTATTTTAATTATTTAACTAATTCCTATTACAACAGAACCGATGGTAAAAATTCTCATGGATTAGGATTTTAATGTACATCTTATGGGTAGTCATTATCACAATAAAAACCATTATTTTTAATATTGATTAAAAATTAATATAAAACTCACTCACAATTGGCAACACATAAATTAATAGTGAGTTTAACATAAATTCAAAACTAAAACAATAATAATGGATATGAAGTGTTGCTTATTAGTGGTTATACTGGGTGTGTATGTTATGGCCGACGACCCGCTTGTGGTCAAGTGTTTGGAGAAAATCGGCGAACAGGCGCTCGACTGCGGCGACAGAGCGGCGACGGACTGGAACATCACCGACAAGACTGACCCCAAGTCCCGCAACGCCTGCTGTGGCGCGTGGGAAGAGGCCGACTGTCTCGACACTGCGTCCAATGTATGCCCATATTTATATAATTATGTTCAACATATGTATAATATGTATAATACAGTTAACCCACTGCCAGTTATAACCTAGCATAATTCAACATTCTCGCAACAAACGTTAAAATCCATAACTAATTCATGAAACTCGTGATTATTATTGTTGGGTGTAGTTTTACAACTCAATGCTCAGTTTAAATGTTTAAGCATACAATTAATTATTGTCAATAATTGCATGGTCATTTAAAATAATTAATAATTATTAATTATTATATATCTTATGTTTTGTATTATATTTTTCAGACCAAATGTACGGCAGAAGAGATAACGGCTTTCCATAAGTATATCCTAAGCCTTCGTACGGATGAAGAGAAGGAGAATTGTGGCAAATTTTTGTATCATTCGTCCGCATGTAATAAATTAATTATGTAATTGTTTTGATTAATTAATCATGTTTAAAATATTTTAACAGTAATAAAATTTATTAATTTTGCTATTTTAATTATCATGTTTTACTTTTACATTACAAAACTGTAATGATAACCATAATCAATGTTTAATATTTTATCAAAAATAATATTTAATAATGGTTGGTTTCCTGCGTTCAGAGTTAATCGTGTTTAAAAAATTCTTCAAACTATTTTGATTTTTTTAAAATTATTAACTTTGTTATTTTAATTAACATGTGAATTTAATTTCATTAATAATAATATTATCAATAAATGGTGTAAAAACTGCAATAATATCCACAATAAATGTTTAATATATAAAATACTTAACATTAAGTTTAATAATGGACTCTTTAGACAATTAAATATTATTCATTTTAATCTCAAGTTAGCACTTTTTTTATCACATAAAACCTTTTGGTTTCTTATCACAAAATACATGTATACTGTATACGAATTGTATAATCAAATTACATATATGACATGAAATAATGATTTATTAATTAATATATTAAATTTCTAATAAATTATTTTGGATGTGAAAATATACATATAAATATATCGTGTTTATTATATGTCAACACTTATTTAATGAATTACTGTACATACATTGTAATCTTGAAATAAAATTACGTATCATTTATGTAAACATAGGGTTAGTCGACATATGGATGTGTTGTATATAAAGCCATGTATTGATATTTAATTTATTACATAAAGTAAAATTAATATAATATGAATATACCAAGTAAAATTATGTTTTGCTACTTATTATCTATTATACTATTAATCGGGACCAGTATTGAAGACGCACCCGAGCCCTCCCCAGTAGTGAGTAAATGTTTTGACAACATATACCCCCTAACCATCCAATGTGTGGCCGACGCCTATCAGCACTGGAATATGACCTACAGATGGGATCCTCCCGTCTATTACGACCCGAAGGGCCAGCAGTCCTGTTGTTCCGGTTGGGAGGCGTTTGACTGTTACGAGAGTGGGCCAGTCGTATGCATATTTTGATTACATTCATATGGTTCATTATGGTTAATTAATTATTTTATTTTTTATTAGAAAAAATGCACAGAAAGTGAACAGATAGCGGTGAGAAAATTTATACAGGACACTATCACTTACCAGTCAAATGGCGATTGTGTTAACTATCAATATCATTCAAAACAATGTCAACAGTAGAATTCAATCTACATGTAAAGTCTTTATATTAATCTTTATATTAATGTATATTAATTTTTAATGTTGTATTTTTTAGATTTTAGTGAAGATTTCATTTCATAGGGTAATATAATTTTTGCACTTGATTTTACATAGTGCATTCATAATTTTATACAATAAGTTAAACAATAAATTTACAAAATAAAACATACTTTAAATAAAAGTTATATTTTAAATCAGTTTTTATATATTTTTAAAATATGAATCTATGGTATAATCAATATAATTGATTACCTATTATTGGTTACCTAAATTATTTTATATAGATCACAAAATATCAAAGTATTATGATATTATAGTAACTTGTTATTTTTAAAACAAATCGAAATTATTATTTTTGAATAACTTATAATTTAAAAAGTACATACCTTTCATTTGTCTCATCACTAGATTTAGTGACATATTTTAAACACTACATTGATTTTCACTATAATATTATCAATAATTCATAAATACTGTTAACAACACATTTAAATACATTATCTATATTTTTAAATTAATTTACATTATTGATACATAGATATATATTTAGTCGATTAATTTTATGCAAAATAAATTTTAAAAATTCAATATTTTATTATTAAATTTTATTTAACTATAATTTAAAAACAAATTTTTAAAAATTTATATTTATTTTATATTACAGTTTTATTTATACTAATTACAACTATTTTGCCTTAATTAAAATTTTCAAAATACAATTAAAAAGTAAAATGACAAAATATTTTAATAATTATTTTGGTTATTTATGTCTTAAATATTTATGTAAATAATATTTTACAATATTAGAAATGAAGTGAAAAATGTGATAATAATTGGCTTAAAATGAGTTAATATATTAAATAACAAATCATTTGAGTGTTAAATGAACCAAAAAATGTTGCGAAATGTTATCTAAATTACTCGCATATTATAATACGATATCAGTTAAGATTGTGTAAGATTTGTACTAATATACTGTACGCAAAATGGAAATTGAAATCATTTACGTTACTTACTTTTCATTATTACAATCAAGCTTTCTCAAATATCTGAATAACTGTTTGTTGAACTCTCTCTCTCTCTCTCTCTCTCTCT